CAAATCTAATGCACCAAAATCCACTGCATTGAATAATTTTTAAAATTCAAAACATATGCCAATTTAGAGTGAGGATAAACTTTACTTACTCTACATTTCTTAAAAAACAGCAAGACAGAATGTGTATCTAATGCTAATGCAAAGCAGATATAAGCAATAAGAAGCTGAATATTGCACACTTTGAAGTATATTTACTAAAGGCCATGCTTGTGGGTACCCATAAATCGCCAGTAAATATTCAGTAAGATGAGCCCAAGTCTGAAAACATTGCTAGCTGACCTCTGCAGGGTTCCTTCTAAGACTATGTAGTAATCTCTGTAGTGGCCACACTTTAATTTATTACTGAACATCTGCAGGCTATGGTATTATGAAACTGTACGTGATCTTTTTCCTTTAAAATACCGGTATTTCTTCACCAGGGTGAAATTTGCATTTGCATCGCTGCAAAAGGGATGCAAGACTTGGTTTCTGTGTACAGTGTCTTCTTCAAGGTTTTTTTTTTTTTTTTTAAAGTGACATTTGATTTGATGTCGCATTAGATTCACGCAAATATGGTCATTTCCTTTTGTTAAGATGAATAGCAGAAAGACAGCATAGATAGGTGTGCAGGATAACTAAAGGGACATTTACATTTTTTCAAGAATTTTCTAACATTTCTAGTAACTACAGAAAAAAAGACCCTCAAAAGATACAATTATTCTACTGTTACTATTGTATCTCTTGCATTACCACTCTATAAACAAAGTAGCAGATAGAAATGGAAGATATTTAGTGAAACTTTTTTTTTTTTTAACAGGATCCAATATACCCTGTATAAGAAACAAACAAATTGTTTTCAGATGGTAGAACAGAATATAAAAGTGTTGTTACACCGAAGAAGGATACAAGTGAAATGTTCCCTTTGTAAACTTGCGTGATAAAGATCAAGTGTGAAATAGCTCAAAAATCTTGAACATGTTAATGTACTTAAAAAGGTAAACACACATAGCATAATATCACACAAAATATGGAAAATTCACATATATATTGACCTTACAAGATATATATACAAAAAACAGCACTAAAAGGCCCCTCCAACCACCGTATAAAACAAAGTCATCCCTGCCATGTAAACAAACAGGTCCAGATCTCGGTGTAGAACCACAAAACATCCCATCATGCGTGACAAAAAAGTCACACATGCGCCATTGAAGCAGAACTCGCTACTTCTCATAACTTACGATGATCCCCCGACTGCCTAAATCATACAAGTCTCTCAAGTAAAGGTGTTTTATAACAAATGGATACAAATAAAAGAAATTACCTCAGCTGTGCAATATACATAATATAGTTATAAAACAGAGGTGTCCAGTATGCAAAAAAAAAAAAAAAGAATAAATAAATAAATAAAACAAATTAGTCAAATAAAATTCATACTATCAAGTTCAATATTCAATCCAAAATTAAAATATGTTTTAAGTCTTTGTATCCACATGGTCTCTCGTTAGTATACGTTTTGAATAATATTGCCCTCTGTAATGCCTTTTTGGACCAAATCTATCCCAATACATAAAACGTTTTTAAAATTAAATGGACAATGATTACAGTGTCTAGGGAAACTATGCTTTATGCTTCTGCTCTCTATGGCATGGTGGTGTAATATTAGTTCCTTCAGTAACCTAATGGTTTGTCCCACATACTGGAAACCACAGGGTCATTGAAGCAGACGAACCACATTTTTGGATGAACAATTATTAAAATGTTTTATATTCAATGAATTTCCAGTAACTGAACTTGTGAACTGCTTTACAGTACCTAGTAAGGGACACATCTCGCATCGCCCGCATTTATTAAAATCTTGACGTTTAGTTGTAAAAAAAAAATGTCCCATTGTGTTGTACTCTAGAAGGGGAAACAAATTAGGAGCCAAAAATGATCTTGGCCTTCCTCTAAATAAGATTCTTGGCCTTCCTATAAATAACCCTATGTTTTTATTCTTCAAAATGGTCCATAAAAGTTCATGCTGTAAAAAAATCAGACCAACATTTTCATAATGCATTTTCTATCATTTTGAACTTTTAATTGTATTTTGCATTAAAAGGTTAAATTAAAAGCTTCCTGGTTGTCTTACATTTTTTCCTCTTGTTGTCATCCTTTCTGTTTCTAAAGTCTAAAACATGTTGTTTAGTTGCACTGAGTAATTCCTTAGGATATCCGATGTCACGGTTCTCACTGTGAAATCCAGACTGCCAGACGTGGTCGCCCCAGAAGTGCCCAACAGGGGATAATGAACCTGGATCCTTCTGTGTGATGGATCTGCTGTTCTGCCTTTAAGCCACAACAGTTCCTATTCCTTGGGGTATTTTTTAGCCCTGTTCTACCTGGCTATGTCTCCAGCACTGGGGGCTTGACTTTTCCTGTGGCTGCTCCTGTCTATCTTGGTCCACCTGAAGCTTATTGCTATTAGCCAGGTATAAAACACTGCCTCTCTCTGAGGGCAGTGTCAGTTCATTGACTCTGATTCCTGTATTTGTGTATCTTGATCCAGTCTTCTCCAGACCTTGGCTTATCTCATCGTTTATTCTGACCTTTGGCTTCCCCTGACTTCGGCTTTCCATGACTACTCTTCTGCTTGTCCTTGCCTGTACTGCGACTTGGAGCTATATCCTGCACAGCCCCAAGGCACAGACTCACAGCCAAGGTGGCTTCTTACCTGGTCACCTTGGTCTGTGTTTATTTGCAAGGGTGAGCGTATAACTCTGCATGTTGGACTCCACATCAGGTAAGAGGTAAAATCCTGACATCCTGTTTACAAAAATGTATTTGTTACATATATAATTTGGGATTCACAATCCTTGTCATTTGTACTGTTATGAATAATCCTCATGAATTGGCCCTTGGGTATTTTGCTTAGCCAACTATTATGATGACAACCTTTACAATCAATATAAGCATTCTTATCAGTTGGTTTTAAATGTCTTTGTTAAAATATGTCTATCCTGTATAAAAAAAGTTTATATCCAAAAAATTGATGTGGGTATTGTGAACTTCAGATACAAATTGCAATCCAAAATCATTTTGATAAATATACACAGAAAATTGGGACAAACTATCCATTGGACCATCCTGGATGATGATGATGATGACATCTTCGATAAATCTTTTCCAGGTTTGCCCACCAGTTGTGTTCTATCCACATATAAAATTACATCCAGTCTACCACAAATAAACTGGCATAACTGGGAGTGAGCCTGGTGACCATGGTAATCCCACATAACTGCAAATAAAATTTATCTTGAAATAAAAAAAATAGTTATGTCCCAAGATAAAACAAATGCGGCCAGTATCCTTTAAATATGATTTTGTTGATGGTACACGACAGCTATAACAAGCCCAATAATAAGAATGCAAAACATCAGCATGGCATATAGAATGACAACACAATTTTTAAAAAATAAGACTAGGGATCATGTTTGTATGGTATAAAGAAGGAAATTGCGGTACTGACAGCAAAACTAGCAACTACATTAACACTAGTGCACTTGTTCGTGTTGAGGCATGGAGTGCATATGTATATCACATATATCGCTATCAAGTGAGACCAATACCCCCTAAGGGATGGGGCCAATGTGGAAATGGTGTAGAGATAAAAGGTAACAGCATATATGGGCCATGTGGGAGCTCGTTAGGTAGGGTCTAACACATATTACAGTTAAACTAACACCCAACACAAATAGGTATAGAGAAAAAAAAAAAAGAAAGAAACTTGAGAAACACAAAGGCCAGTGTTTCAGGTGATCTTCATCCCAAATGTACCACTGGTGGAGGGGACAAACGGGACAATGTTGGCTGGGTCCCAGATTGTGGTGGTAGATGGGGTAGTGAGGCTCATGGCCACCAGGACACTGTTCATCTCAGCAACGCCTGCCACCTTGTAGTCAATGCCCGTACCAGTCACCAGTAGCCGAGCCTGTGAGCAGTGGTGGCTTGGGCAAGCGAAACAAGCCATCAAGCTCTATCCCTTAAGCTTGTTTAGGAGGTAGGAAGGCTGCAAATAGCCTGCGAAGGAAATGGGGAAGTTCAGCTGGAGGCACTGTGTCAGAGAGGCCGCAAGTTTTCACATGCTTCCTCCGCTGCTTGTCCTCCATAGCTGCTAGTTGGTGGGTGAAGGTAGTGTGAGCTAGTTGGTGGGTAAGGTAAGGTCACTGACCTGCTTTTGGAGTTCTGTGACCTGGTCTGTGTGCATTTGAGAGGTCTGCTCCGTGGCCGTGAAGCGAGCGGTGAACCCCTTTACATCCTCCATCACCTGGGAGATCTCCACTGAAAGCATCTGTCTTAGTTCTGATAGGAGATTGGTGAATATTTCTGTGGTGATCGGGAGGTCCACAGTCAGCTGTGTAGGCCCTTTATACCCGAGAGTCTCAGGACTATGGGGAGAGATGTAATTTGAGCTGTCCGAGTATCACTCAATGTCAACCGCCATATTAGGCCTAGTTGTGCCATACGGTCTCCGCAGTAGGTTGCCTATATCTGCTGAGTCCAAGGCTGATCTGGCCTTTTGGTTTCTCTCTCCATCAGTGCAGGGACACCTATAGGTCATCTGTAGTGTGAAAGGTTGCCTTGTGGGGCTAAATTTGGTGCTGGATAAGGCTTCAAACGTCGGAGAGCAGTCTTGATGGTACTTTTTGTGTATGACTACAAATTGTGCCATAGATTAAATTACATGGTTATAATGCTTACATTAAATTATAGTCTTGTACTTCAGTGTGATTAAGCTGGTATTTAAAGAGAGTTCTTCATGCTTACTGCTTATACGGCCCATCCAACTTCCCGAACAGTTATGAGAACGGCATTCAGGAGGCATGAACTACCGAACAGGGGGAGCATTTGCTCCCTAACAGCCAGGGGAGCATTCGTCAGTGTTCGTGTGAGAACCACCGAAATATGACCGTTAGTGATGTCCCAAACGGTTCGCTGCGGACTCATCATTGAGTAAACTTTGACCCTGTACCTCACAGTCAGCAGACACATTCCAGCCAATCAGCAGCAGACCCTCCCTCCCAGATCCTCCCACCTCCTGGACAGCATCCATTGTGAAGCTGCATTCTTAGTGAGCTGTCCAGGAGGTGGGAGGGTCTGGGAGGGAGGGTCTGCTGCTGATTGGCTGGAATATGTCTGCTGACTGTGAGGTACAGGGTCAAAGTTTACTCAATGATGAGTCCGTGGTGAACCATTCGGCGAACAGTTCGGCGAACCGTTCGGCGAACCGTTCGGCGAACCGTTCGGCGAACCGTTCGTGACGAACCGTTCGGCGAACCGTTTGGCGAACCGTTCTGGACATCACTAATGACCGGTTATTGCCTTGTTTTCTATTGAACTGTTTTGGGCATCACCTCATGGCCGACCAGTCAAAACTTCATTTGAATGGCATTCCTGAACCAGCGAAGGGATCTGAGCATCCACTTTGTCGAAATAGCACTCAGATCCCTTCAGTGGTCCGGGAACGACATTCGAATGGAGTTTTGAACGGTCAGCCATGACTTTTGTGTAGTTCCTATGTTATTAAAATGTTAATAAAAATTTGATCGTCAAGTTAATTGCCGCCTGGAGTTCTATGGAGAGAACCCCTGAGGGAGGTCATCACAACACCCTCACACAAGCAGATGCCTACTTCACAGCACAAGCAGAGCATGAGAACCAACTTTGGCTAGCAGAACAGCATGCCCTAGAGAGACTGCCAGCTACCACCCAGGCACCAGAGGTAAAACAAAAGGTCCCCCATTATGCTTTTAAAAAATATAGGGAAAATGAGGAAGAAATAGACGACTTCTTGCAGGACTTCGAGCGGCAGTACCACTTATACCAAGTACCAACAGTTTTATAATGTCCAGAGGTACAAGAGTGGGTAAGAGACCGGAAGCCCACCACCCTAACCGAAGCTGTCAGCCAAGCGAATGAATACTAGGACGCCCGCAGGTAGCAACGTCCTAGCTTCAGGCCAATGCCCAGACTCCTGAGCAACAACCCTGGGCCACCAGTACAGAAACTAGGAGGGCACATCCCCAACCCAAAAGCACCCTGAAACTCAGGAAACAGTGGAACACAGTGACACCTGTGCAAATAGTATGGGCACTATCAGAGAGACTGTACCCAGGGAAGAAACCAAACTTCATGGATCCGACCAGGGCCATTACCCCCAGCATGAGCAGCGGTCCACTACTATCACATAGAGGCTGCTCCATTTGTCCCAAGGTCTGACTTTCCGAAGAACAATGGGGTACCCTCCATGAAGCCGACTTAGTGCAAACTGCTACACATAACAGGCAACACCATCGCCAGTCTGTCCAGCTGAATGGAAAGCCAGCCCAAGGTCTCCAAGACATGGGAGTCAACCTTACCAGAGGTTCAGTAGACGTGCGGGTAGCATGGGGAGCAGTACACCCTCTGCCCACTGTGAGGGTTCACACGAATTGGGGTGCAGGGTCAGGGCTGATTAATGTAGGGTTGATGCAGGCACTACCCGCCGACGTCTTGTTGGGAAAGATCTCGGCCAGTTGACATCAGCGTTCCTGCTGTCCCAGGTCACCAATGATACCTACCCAGTCACCACTAGTTCCCAGGCTCACACCACAGAGAACCACTTGCACTCTGAAGTCCAGGTAGGAAAACCTTCCCAAACCCTTTCACCCCTCCCCTGAGATACCACCACATAATTTGGGCAGGAAACACTTAGCGACCCCACCCTGCAGGTATATAGGGATAGAGTGACCAATTCCCAGGCAGGATTAGAGGGAGAGATATTTCTGGCACCAAGGGTTATTGTACTGAGATTCAGAGAGAGTCATGGCAGGTTCCATACCAGTCTCTACTCAACAACTAATTGTCCCCCAGAAATATAGGAGAGAGTTACTACAGATTGTGCACAGTATTCCCCTGTCTGGCCTTCTTTTGGCCTGGCATCTCCAAAGATGTTCGGCAATATTGTCAAACTTGTGACTTATGCCAAAGGGTAGGAAAGCGGGGAGATCGCCATAATGCCAAATTGCAGCTCTTACCCATTATAGAGGAACCATTTCGGATGGGTAGCAGTAGATCTTGTAGGACCCCTATCCAAACACAGCCCATCCAGTAAAATGTATATCTTTACTATAGTCGACTATGCAACCTGGTATTCAGAAGCTGTGGTTCAGACGAATTCTGCGACCGCTTGAAGGAATTGATTCAGAATGTGCGTACCAACCTCCAGACGGGGCAGTCAGCGCCGATGGTGTGACAGGGGCGCCAGAGGACGTAGCTTTCAGTTGGGCCAAAGGATCTGAATTTAAAACCTGTTTGCCACACCTGGCAGGGCCCATACCAACTGGTGGAATAGAGATGTGACACCACTTAAGTGATTGGCCTTTGTTTTAATACTGAGGGGGAGACACATGCTCTACATGAACATGCTCAAACCCTACTAAGAGAGAACAAAGGAGGTGGCAGCCATATGTGCGCCCACCACCGATGACTTAGAAAATCTTCCCCTGCCAGACTTCCTAGGGGAAGAGGATAAGACAGGCTTCCCAGATGAGGTCCAGCTAGGAGAACGGCTAAGCACTTAAGAGCGTATCCAGGTATGAAGATTACTAGCCACGAAGAGAGCAATGTTTTCGCATGTACCTGGATACACTCCATTAGCCACTCACCGGGTAGAAATGTCCAAACAGCCACCCCTCCGCCAGACCCCCTACAGGATCCCTTTAGCTGTCAGGGAACAAATGAGACATGAGATACTCTGTCTCTTGGTTATAGGAGCGTCTGATAGTCCTGATGGAATGATCACCTTCTATGTAGATTACCGGAGATTCAATGACAAAACAGTATCAGATGCTTACCCCATGACCAGGTAAGCTCTTAGATCGGATGGCCAGAGGTAAGAGACTGGAAGCCCACCACCCTAACCGAAGATGTCCACCAAGCGAATGAATGCAGGTAGCAACGTCCTAGCTTCAGGCCAATGCCCAGACCCCTGACCATCAATCTGTGTAAGGGATACTTGCAGATCCCCCTAGCCCAGGATGCCATTCCCAAGTCGGCCTTTGTCACCCCGTTTGGCATGTACCCGTTTGGCATGAAAAACGCTCCAGCCACGTTCCAACAAATTATGTGTGTGCATGCTAAGATGATATTGCGATCTTTAGTGAAACCTGGGATGAGCACTTAATACATATAGGAGCAGCATGTCAAATGTTTATCCTCACCTTGCGGTATCTGCAGTAATTGCCTTCCTAACAAACGCAGAAGTGCCGTTGAGCGGCAATGTATCTGACTCCTGCAGCATGTTGGTGGACGAGACAATTTGTAACCCACAAGTCCACCCACGGTACTGACAACGTCAGCGTGAGTGTGATGTCACGTAAAGGATGCGCGCGCACATTCTGAGGTCAAAGCCTGGTTACGGCCAATCGGATCTGAAGGAGGCTTATTTAAACTGTCTTTGTTTCCCTTTCCTCATTGCCCTGTCGTGGTTTCCTTAGTGGAAGTGGACATTATGAGTACCTGGTCATGCCCTTTGGGTTGTGCAATGCTCCAGCCATGTTCCAGGACATTATTAACGATGTACTCAGGGATTATATTTATTCATTTGTCCTAGTATACCTGGATGATATAATTATTTATTCCCCTGACCTTCAGACTCACCACAAACATGCCAAACAAGTGTTCCAAACTTTACTTGAAAATAAACTTTATTGCAAACTGGAAAAATGCATCTTTGACCAGACTGAGGTACAGTTTTGGGGGTATAACATTGTTGCCTCTGGATTTCAGATGGATCCTCATAAACTAAAGGCTGTTCTACATTGGCCATTGGTCAACGGACTAAAAGCCATTCAAAGGTTTATTGGGTTTGCTAATTATTACAGGAGATTTATCAAAGGGTTCACCAATATGACACGTAAGGGGACTAGTTTTACTATATGGTCTAAGGAAGCTAGAGATGCTTTTGAACTTCTTAAACAAAGGTTTGCTTCTGCTGACATATTGATACATCCTGACACCATCAAACCATTTACTGGAGGTTGATGCCTCCGAAACTGGGGTGGGGGCTGTTCTTTCCTAGAGGGAGTGTCAGGAAACCCCTTTGCATCCATGTCGGTACTTCTCTAGAAAGTTGTCTCCTGCTGAGCGTAATTATGATATTGGTAACAGAGAATTGTTGGCCATTATACAAGCGTTTAAAGAGTGGCGACATCTTTTAGAGGTTCCAAGGACCCCATTTTGATCATTACTCACCACAAGAATTTGGCTTATATAGGGGATGCTAAACGACTGTCTTCTAGACAGACTAGATGGTCTTTGTTCCTATCTCACTTTAACTTTCTTATAACTTACACACCTGGTCCTGTGAAACGTGAAAGCGGACGCCTTATGTAGACAGTTTGACACTGAATCTGTGATGGATAGAAATTAATGTTAGTAAAATGTCTATTTACTATGTGCATCTGTGCTTTTATTAACTACTCAAAATGGCCACTAGAGCACCCCCTCCCATCGACCTAAGGAATTTCATGTAACACGATGGTGTCTCCATCCGGAGCTGCACCCAGGATGCTGATGACCTCACACCCTGTGGGAAGTCCATCAAGATAAAACACTTAAACAAATAGCAATTAAAATGTACATTTCATGTTCTCCCATATTTTGCATATGATGTATTTCTGCCTTTATAAGGGGCTTGCCGCCCCCTAAATAAACATTCATCAAAGCTTTCATTTAACTGATTCTGTTGTCAGTGTGATTTCTTCGGCGTGCATGGACGGGGCAGATATTCAAGCAAACACTTGGTTTGGTCTAAAACAAATTTATTTATTTATAAAATGTTTTACCAGGAAAGATACCTTGAGATATCTCTCGTTTTCAAGTATGTCCTGGGTCCACAAAACATTACATTGTTACATTAGGGTACAATACAATACAAATACAAAATACAAAAACAATATTAATACACAATATATACAAAATTTACCATAGAACAAGTAGGAAATATATAATCACCCATGACATGTGCATTCTGTTTTGAGGTATGTAGAGAGGGATCTCTTAAAGGACTCTAGGCTTTGGGAAGATTTTAAAGTGTGCGGGAGGTCGTTCCACAATTGTGACGCTCTGTAGGAGAAGGAGGATCAGGCCGCTTACTT